TTGGTGAGAAAACTTGTTTCCAAAGACGATGAGAGGAGGTCAAAGGTCAGACCTGGGTTACACCTGGCTGGGTCCTGGTAGTACGGATCTGCAGAGACACAGAGAAGCACCGATCAACGTCGTCACAGAATTCAGACAGAACCCCCCCCCCCTTGTTTCTACAGTTCATACAGTTTTTTGGGGGGTGGGGGGGGCGACCCAGAATACACTGGAGGGATTGTACTGTACATTCCATCTGGAAACATTGAACAAAGAAGTTTTGAGTCTGCAGCGACCACGACCAGGTCCTGAGAGGGAAGGTCGGATGTTCATTAAATCTAAAGGGTTCATGGACGCAGCAGAAATAAGAACGGCCACAGGAATGAAATGATGCAGAAGACAGGGTTCTGAAAGAGTCTCACTGAGACACAGAAACAACCAGAGACAGAAGAGGGATGGAAGATGTTATTACTTCTACGAGCTGAGTGTTTCCTTCTTCCTCTGGTCTCGACTGACGATGTTGTTTAGTTTGGAACAACGACTGTAAATAAAGATGGATTCCATGACAGCTTCACTCTTTGTACACAGCTGCTTTTACACGACTCTCCTAAGTGATCCGTACTTTCAGGTGTGAGCGAGGTTTTATTTACGTTCATCGCACTATGTGACATGAAACAAGCCCCACAGAAGCTTTCACAGATTCTTCTGGCTCCGTCCCGTGCTGGTGTGACGTTCACTGAACTTTTAGCAGCAGAGACAAACTGGGGCTGCTTCAGATTTATGTTCCAACAGGAGACAAATGTCTTAAAGCAACATTCGGTCTGGCGTCCTGCTGAAAATCACAGGAACGACTTCAACCATCCACCCTGACCGAACCTCAGCGAATCAACAACTCACACCGAGGGAAAATCCCCAAACCCCGCTGAGCCCGGTCGAGCTCGGGCAGCTCGCAGATATGTACGTGGGTGTGTCATTACGGAGGTCGAGAGGATTCTGATGAGGTTTAGACTTTTTCTAAACTCGCTGGTGCAGGGTCTGTTCAAAGAAGCAGAGGACAGTGAGGGTTTTATTGAGTGTAGGACGAGTGGGCCGCCTGAATCAAGGAGCTCTTTGAGAAAGTGGCTGGGAGTGAAGTCGGAGGGGAAATGACTCATGCTATCTGTTGGAGCGGGAGCAGAAACAAGCTGAGAGGAGAAACACGACAGAAAACACTGATGGAGCTGCAGCCGAGCAGAGGAAGCAGTTTCCTGATGCTCCGTGTTCTCCAGGACAGAAGTGAAGCTCTCGCTTTTACAGGAGAGAACTTTCTATTTATTATTCTTATTAAATCTGAGAATAAGTCAATTTGTCAAACGCATATATGAATTTTAAAACTTTTAAGATTTCATTTATTTGAAGTTTTACAGGTAAAAAACATATGGACACATATTGAAAACTCATCATTCATTGTAAGAGTTTAAAGGGTGACATCACCTGGACCCTCGGCCTTGACGATGGCCTCAGGTGAGATGCAGACGCCGCGGTCGTACAGCGGCAGCTCGCTGCAGGCCAGGCTGTCGGGCCAGCTGTGGTTGTAACGCTTCATCACCGGCTCGCAGCCGGTCTTGGCGCGCTCGCACACCGCCTTGCAGGGTTTGATGGGCTCGTGCTGGAAGTCGATGGTGCAGATGGGAGCGTACATGGCACACAGGAAGAAGAGCAGGTCCGGACTGCAGCCAGTACCTGAACACAGGCGTGACACCGGGAACAGTTTGAGTTACTCACAACTTTTTCTACAAGGAAACATAAACTATAATTATACTTGAGTTCAGGTTTCGAGCATGTTTTTCCATTTTTGGACATTGTGGTGGAAACACTGTCTGTGGGCAGCGGTTAACTAACATTTGAGACTTGGCCTGTGTAGGAGACGCTCGTCAGCTCCCATGATGCATCACTCACTGAAGCATACCATGGAGTTGTAAAGGGAAAGAATAATTCCGGACACCCGCTGGTTCTGGAAGTTAAAGCCTCGTTTCACGAACATGAAACTCTCACAGAGACTCATTGATGCAAAACATTAACAATCAACTGAGAAAAGATCTGGTTCTGTAAAACTCCTGTGGACGCCACGTGTCTGAAGCTTCAGGGATTCAACATGTTTAACTGTCGAAAGCTGTTTTCAGACGTGAACTCCAGAAAATGTCCTGAAAAAATAGTGTCCGGACATTTTCTGGTTTGTCTTTGACAAATGAAGGAGATGGTCAGACGATGCGTTCAGGGACCTTCCTCACTCAGGATGTGTAATGACTGAAAGAGTTCAGCACAGGTTTTAGTTTTTCCTCAGTGGACGACTGAGGTTTGGCTGCTCAGCTCCTCGGTGAAGTCACAGAAATGTTCTGAACTTGTGACCTGAGTCTGCCTCCTGCTTTCTGGCCTGCAGATCTTTCATTAGAACATTTTTCTGGTTAAAGCATTTTGCTTTTCCACTTTCTCTCCCTGCTTCTCCGACCTCAGCTGAGCTCAACGTTCAGCCAAGATGTGAAAGAACTGAACAGAGTCTGCGATGGAAGCTGATCAGCTTCTTCAGGTTGATTCTACTTAACAGGATCTTTACAGCAAATCTCGGTCCAGCTCCAAACAGCAACTCCAGCGTCCTCAGCAGAGCTCATACCTCCGCCAAGACCCAACCCTTTAAATTCAATCAAGCTGCAACACATTTCACTCGCTCATAGAAATCAGTCTTTCAACACGTCTGACTTTTCATCAAGATCCATGAATTATTCTCTGGGAAATCAGTGAAAACCTCAGAAAATGTTTCACCAGTTTCCCGCTGAATATTGGAGATAAACTCTGATAATAACGTCTGTTGTTGCTTTGAATGAACGCAGTGAACATGTGACTCTGACATCTGAAGGCTTTAACATCCAGCTCACTGAAATTCACTGGACAAAGGGAACTGTGCAACATTTACTCTCTGCAGACGTGAGTTCAGTGAAATACGCTGAGTCGACAGGTTGAGATACTGAACGTGGAGCGAGCGAGTTTCAGAGCAGCGCTACGAGCTCAACTTATCAAACACACACAGATCTGAACTGATCCAAGTTTCCAGTTACTCCATAAAAAAAATATAGAAACATAACTGGAGTAATTATTGTTCATCCAAATGTTCTGTGAACACGATAATCCAGAAAACTCACAAAACTAAATTCAAGCTGAATCTCAAAGTATTGTTCTAAAACAAAATCGACATGGAGGGGAGGAGGGGAGGAGGATTTTATAATCTGGATGAACTTTTAGCATTGAGGCCAGTGTCTGTGTGTGTGTGTGTGTGTGTGTGTGTGTGTGTGTGTGTGTGTGTGTGTGTGTGTTTAATGATCAGCTGCTTCACTCTTGTTGAGTTGATTTGATTTTATTACCTTCTGGACTGAATGAAACCATAAACTGAGGTTTGGCAGCAGCGGCCCGAGCAGCTCCTCCGTGATAATCAGCCTCCACAGTAAAAGACCTTTGAGCTGCTGAACGCTGGATCTGATTTCAGAGAGTTGCTCTGCAGCGTTGGTTCGTCTGTCGGTCGCTCCACTTTCATCCACATTAATTATCTGATATTTCGTTCATTCATGGTTCCCAGAGGATGAATCCTCTCGACTTTTTCTCTCGAGCTCCATCCACCACAGACGAGTCACAGACTGTAATAACTTCACAGATCACTGAACTGCAGCACGTTGGTCACAGTTCCGAAGCCCTGGAAACATTTGATTAGCGTGTTTCTGTATTTGTGACTCTGCAGCAGTTTTAAATTGATGAAGCTGTTTTCTTTGTGTTTTCTATTTACACTGTGCTGAGCTCTCTTTGGTGCTAACGTTAGCGTGCTCTCGATCAACATGGTAAAGATAATGTGCTAGACATAATCCTGTTAGCCTCTAGCATAGCTAAAACCTGGAGTTGTTTTATTGAGTTCAGTTTCAGGGAGGAACAAGTTAAGATCATGTTCTAGTGAAAGAGAAACTTTTTTTCCAGTCTTTGTCTTTGTTGCTGAGTTGAATCGTCTCTGATAACATTTTCCTTTCCAGACGTTTTGCTGCCAGAATAGTTTCAGGTCTGTGGTTGTGGATGTAACTGTTGAGTCCAGAGGACAAAACCATTAATGTTCAAAAACGTAAATCAGAGACGAAGAACAGTCGAACATGATTCTGGAGTCAAGAAGAAAATCTAAGTCATAAATGATTTTGGCCACTTCTTCTTCTTTTCGCTGGGCCAAGAGGAGGAGGAGGAGGAGATGATGAAGATGAATTATGACTCAGTGATACAGCTGTTAGCGCTGCTCCGGCTTTGAGCTTTTTCCATAAGAATTATTACCAGTCATAAATCACTCTGTTCCTGGGCTTGTTACCATAAATAGATCTGCAGATAATTAAATATGAAAACACAGATTCAGGGTCTTTCTGTCGTTCTTCCTCTTCACTACATCATGTGGAAACTTTTTAAAGCATGGAAAAGTACACCCTCGTTAACATGGAAAAACCCCACAGAGCAAACCGTCCAGGATCATGTGACCCTGGTGACCCGCTGCTTTGAGCTGACCTCAGGTTGTTGCAGCTTCAGTGGCAGCGAAGGAAACGCAGAAATCTCACTCTGTTATTTCTGTGGTTTCAGGAACACGAGAGTTGTTCTTGGACATTTGTGACGTTCAGACAATCTTCTGCACTCGATGCCCCGTGATGTCTGCAGCCTCACAGCTCACAGCGAAACTCTGCAGGAACTACAGTTCACGTCTCCTCAGTAAAAACTCTAAACTACATGGAGAGCAGCCCTAAAACTGCATTTATATATTTAAATACATATATAAGTTCACAGCTGAAAACACACGTCACATGACCGTTCACGTACACTGGTCATGTGATGTAAACAGGAAGCAGATGGTCTCCTCTGCAGTTGGTTGCTTAGTAACAGAAACTCACAGTGATGGTGAGAAGTCAGAGCAGAGGTTTCTTTTCTCTGAGCGGCAGCGAGGTGGAACTGTTGCTGACAGGAAGTGTTAGCGACGCTTTGTGTTCACCGCTGGTAGTCGAGTCATGAGAACCAATCAGAAGAGGACGTGGGCGTCACCGTTTAAAGTCTCAGTTTGTGTTCAGACTAAAACACAAAACCAGAGTTTTCAAACTGAAACCAGATCAGTTTTCTGGTTAATTATGTAAAGAAGTTGTAGAAGTTTGTGTTTTCAACGATCTTCCTAACTAGTTATATTAAAAGTGACCTTAAAGTTCTCATGAAACGTGGGGCGACCATTTTGGAGCAGAGCTGCATTTAACCCAGGACCATCAGTGAGCTGTAACTCAGACCAGCTCTCTGGAGAAGAACGCCCTCGCTCCACCAGCCAATGTTTTCTTTTCTTTGTCCTGAATAAATGTAATCAGAGCGAAGGTTCTCACAGAATGTTTCCATGCTCCCTGAGCGAAGTGATGGTTGAAGTTTCCTGTGGCTCAGTCAGACCAGAGATTTGATCCAGAGGTGCGGTGGAGTACGCCCACCTCTCGTCAGGGGGATTTACCACATACCTACTCAGAAAGAGCCACAGATGCGTCTCAGTGCAGATGTTACGGCCATGTTGCAGTCGCTCATGTACAGAAGTGGTCGGTTCAAATTCAGCCCTCCGTCCATGAAAATCTGGATCAAAACCTCCTCAAACATCTACTGTAGCTAACAAAGACTTATACACTCGTTTAAAACCTTAAGACACTTTCACTCAACTGTAAATCAGACATCTTGCTAATAAAGGAACCAACTCTAATCAAACGAAACACTCAACAACAAATGTTGGTGAGAGCTTCAGATAGAATAGAAGATAGTGGTAGAATAAATCACAGCCTCGAGGCTGCTGGGCCGAGTCGGTTCAACTCAGGTTCACGTCACTCAAATCTCAAACAGTAAAGTCAGGAGGCTTGAACCAGGTTTTCAGCCTCCGGCCAAATGGAGGTGACTGGAATTAAGTTTGTGTTTCTGTCAGGTTTGAAAGATATTTGATGGAAAACTTTATTCTCTGCAGCCGACACAACTCGTTCTGAACCCTGAGCTTGTTGAATAATTCAGAGCGTCACTGTGAACAGCTTCTCTGGAAGAAATGAAAACTGAACCAAACCTTGTTTGTTCTGAGGATTGTTCACAGTTACAGATGTGTTCGTACAGAAGTTGTATTTTTCAGTTTCAAACAGGTTTTTCTTCATCGTCTCTCTCCAACCTACAGAATATGACACGCCCACTGACGTCGTCATATAGCTTCTCTCTAGAAAACCTGATTTTTTAAATTTAAAGCTCAACCTGTTTCTCCAACTCCTCTTCTTTCTGTCTCTGTTTTAATTTTCTTTCTCTCCAACAAAACAAGCAGTGATTACGGTCATCATATATCAATCGGATGATTATTTAGCTGATTAATTGTTTGGTTTGTAAAACTTCTTAAAAGTGTGAAATAAAGTTTTTACATTTCTCAATGTTCAGTTCTTAATTATACGAAACTGAGAAATGCAGCAAAACATTAAATCTGAAAAAATGCAACATTGAAATATCAGGAATGTTTTAATTAAAATGTTAAAAGTTTTGAATGTCATTAATATAGTCGTGGTTGTCATTATCAGTGGGGCTCGGGCAGTTTAATTACATCGTTAAATAATTTACAA